GACCCCCAGGCCCGTGGCCTATGCCCACAAAGCTTGAGGGGGGACGGTGAGCAGGTGGGCACAGGGGCCTCATTCATGCCTGGAGACCATTCCCACAACAAGTTCTGGTGTTCATGGTGAGGGAAACAGTAGCTGGGGGTGACTCCCTGGCCCCCTCTGGCCATCGGGGGCACCAGTGCCATCCTGCCTGTCCCTGCTGGCCTGAGTGGCTCTGCTTGTTGGGGATAATTGTGCAAGCCGGACGCTGGGTCAGGGTGCTGAGCAGGGAGCATGCCAGCCCTTCTGGGCCCCGGGGCCTGAATTTCCAGGAGGCTGGCAATGCCACCCACCAGAAGGAAGTTGGACAGGAAGGGCCACTTGCTGGGGGCCAGCCAGAGGCCTGGGCGGGGTGCTGGGGAGCAGCAGGAGCAGGGCCAGCTCTGGGCCTGGGAGTGGGCTCAGCAGGAGCCCCCACAGGTGTCTGGCGGAGGGACGCCCTCTGGCCAGAGAGCGAGCCCCTCTTGGACATGCAGTGCCATGCACCTTGTGCTCGGCTGCCTCTTGAGAGAGAAGGAGCTCTGCAGGCTCTGTGCTCTCCTGGCCTCGGGCAGGATATTTGCACAGGCCCATGGGCACCGCCGGCTTGCTGGCTAGCTTTGTTTCCTTGCTTGTCAGTCGCTCAGACGGCTCACACTCCCTCGCAGAGCTCAGGTGCTGAGCAGAACGTGCAGACGGACAAATGGCGGCACATGTGCTACCTTCGCAGCCCCCTCCTTCACCTTCTTCATTCCTGGTTCCAGCCACAGGGCCTTTGCTCAGCTGCTGCTTCTGCCTGCAGTGCTCTTTCCCCTCATCCCTTCTCTGTCACTCAGATCTGAGCTGAAATGTCACCTCCTCAGAGAGCACCCCCCCGCAGCACCCACTCTGAAGTTGCTGCCCTGTCAGAATCGAGCCAATCACTTCGTTTTAAATCTGATTAGAACAAAAATGACTGCTCGATGGCTTCTGGTTTGTGTCTTGCTAGTCTTGGGCATAAGCCCTGCAAAGGCAGCAACCCTGTCCACCTCCGTCCCCAGTGTGACCCAATGCCAGGGCAGCGCTGGGCACAGAGGTGCTACATGGTGGCCACACCAACAAGGCCAGTGGTCACCCACGAGCAGAGCACAGTGGTTAAAGCACTGGCTATAAAGTCATGTGGATCTGAATGGCAATATTGGCTTTATAGAATCCTTTCGTGCCTCAGTTTTCTCACTTGTAAAAGGAGGATAACAATAACCTGTATCTTGCCTGGTTGCTATGAGGTTTATATGAAGTGGTGGGTGTAGAAACTTTAGAAGTTTCCAGCATGTAGTGGGTACACTGTGAATTGTAGCTATGGCTTTCATCATCACCATCACCATCACCACTATCACCACCATCATAATCACCCTCATCACCCTCATCACCATCTCCCTCATCACCATCATCACCATCACCACCATCACC